AAAAAAAAAAAAAAAATCAATAACACAATAGAATGAAGACTACATCAATATTCAATTAAATAATGCAAGAATCTAAGCATATAGAAACAAATAAGTGGGACCAAATCTTGTCTCCACATTTCCACACAAACCTGACAATTCCAACCCCTATTCCACATCATACTGACATAAAAAAGCCAAACAAAAGTTACATTATTCAAAAGATTCACATAATCAAAAGGTAGAACATACCTGATCCTCGATTTCCTCCTTTTCCTGATCTCTGATTTTTGGTCCCTCACGGTTCTTTTCTCCACTTTTGGATGATGGGTCCATGTATACAATCTAATTTGATTGTAAAAAGTGATAAATTCTATCAAAAATTACAAAGCTTTTAGGGTTTTGTTCTTGCAAAAGTGAGAAGTTTTCCCTTCTTTCTTTTTTCAATGTGCAGTTCCCCATTGGTTTATTTAGAAGGTGGAGAGGTGGGAATGTGAGGTGGACTAAAAATGGTGCCATGTAATCAATTGGCTGAGTTGTTTTTTCCACATAGGCTTTGTAAAATTAAAATTGGTAATTGTTGGACACTTAATGTGCTAGGTATGCAGTCTGTCAACGGAAGGATCATTTGAGTTACAGCAAAATGAAGTTAAAGGACAACTTGGGTGCTTTCTAAAGTTAAAGGACGAACTAAGTTGTAAAATGAAAGTTTAGGGACCAAATTGGGTATTAAACCTAAAAAAAACTAGAACTAAAACTAATGGCAGCGTAGAGCTAAAGACTAAACTAGGAAAGCTGATTAAGTTAGATCTAAACTAAGACATTGCTTGTGAAACTAAAATGAAGATAGCGTTGGGCTAGTTGTGTGAGAGGCAAGCCTTTCCTTGCTTGATCTCATCATCGGGTATTTATAGCACCTTAGCAGCATGGTGGAGTTTTGCTAACAGCATCTTGAAAACTATCGGCAACATGAAATCTTCAACAAATTGATTAATCTATTGGTGTTGCCGATTATACTCTTGGAAGTTCTAACAAGTGAATGGCTTTACTGCCATTGTGGAAATAACCACTGAATTTTATCTGGAGAGATTTACACCAACAACTTTCAACCAATGAAACACTTGCCAACATGGATGACACGCGGCACCATTCTTTTTTTTTTTGCAAAAATGGGTGTAAACAATGCCCCCAAAAACTTGGTTGCACGACTTCATGGAAGTGGAATCAAGTTTTTGAAAATTTTGTTCCCAGCACTCTTCACCATGTGGCCATTGTAAAGGAAGCATGATGTCTCCAAGAATGTAGAAATTTGAGATTGTTGTTTTCTTCAGCATAGCATGGAATATCATCTAGTAAACATAATGGCTTCATAGAGAAATAAGCCAGCTAAATGCGTGTCTACAAAATATGGAAAAGATATAGCCTCCAAAAAGAACAATTCCATGAATTCCCTTGTTGGCTAACATGGAGACATAAATCAAGCATGCCTCCACAAAATGCATGTGTTAAAAGCAATGTTATCTTATAGCTTTCCTTAAGGCCATTCTAACTGCAAGATTATTCACACTAATTTTAGAAAATTAAAAATGAAAACTAAATTAAAGCTTATCTCCACCCAAACCTGACTTAGGCAAAGGGATTTTTATTTCCACTTTGATCTATTGCATGACTTATAGATCATAGGATAACATGACTGAAAAGGTAAGCCATTTATTTTTGTGAGGCGTAGACTACTATTAAGGTTACTTAACTAATATATGCCTTCATGAAAAATGTCATATGTCTACAAAGCTCTCATATTCTTGGCAGAATGTCTCCTAGGTGGCATGCCTCCAATTGGCAGCAACATGCCTCCTCTAATAGAAACAAAAGCTTCAGTGTCTTTTTTCCGATCCCTCCCTTTATTCTCTTTGCCAGACATATTTACTTTGTTCTTTGTTGCCTTTTTACTACTAGAGGCTGCATCTTGCTTCCTTGTGAAAACAAAAGGGAGATTTGGAATGGAACTTGGAAGTTCAATAGTAAACTCACCAAGCCTAATTCTTTTGCTATTGATGTTAAGCCTTTTAACTGCCTTTGGGTCATTCAACTTGAGAGAAACATGCTTGGCAAACATTTTTTGAGACATGACTACATTGGCCAAATTTTGATTTTCCTCTTGAGAAGCTACACCTTGTTTCTTCTTTTCCACCCAAATAAACCTTTGCCTCTCTGGAGGTTGTTGCCTTTGGGAAGCATGCACCTTGGCAACAGCATGCCTCTGACGCTCTTTAGCTCATTTCTTTTGAAGTCACCTTCCAAAAGTCCTAGGATTTTGGGTAGGGAACTTTGGGTGAGCCACCTAGTTTATACGGCAACCATGTCTAAATTGATTTTGTTTATAGAGGCAACATCTGCCCATGCCTCAATGTTTGAGTGCTTGATCATGCCCCCCATGCCTCCATTTAAAGACATGGGTCTGTTGCTTTTGTTCCTTCTCTAGAGGTCTTTAGATTTCCTCCTTCTTCTTCGAGTTGGCAGATGAGAAGGCATAGTGTTTCTTATATTGTCTCCCATGTTGTCGTTGCATCTGGGAGGAAAATACGTGGATCTTTTGTGAAAGCCACTTCAAAAGAATCATTATTTTTTGAATATGGCCTACATGTCTCTTGAATAGCTATTGGCAATGAATCAACAAGTTGTTGAGGTGGACTAGGCTTGCAGACATGTTTTTGCTATGGCGGTGTTGGTTGGATGCTTGGATTGGCATCAGGCTACAACAGCACAAGCCTTGTTGCCTCTTTTTCTATAGCTCTGTGAACTTAGAAGGGATATTTCACCTGGAAATGACTGGAAATGACTCCTCTCTTTAGATTAACGACTTTAAAGGGATATTTCACCTTTATCCATTGTCTATAGTTGAACTTAGAAGAACTTCGACCATTAAGAAAGCATGGTTGCCGCAAACAGTTCTTAAGCAAGGTAGAAGGAACATGCTCGTTAGTCTCAAAAAAAGTAGAAATAAATGAGGTGGATACCTTATCAGATATGTATTGAAGTTGGCCAAAGTGGTGCCTTTTGTGTGGTAGCATCAACTTGCTATTTTCCATCAGATGGACCTTGATTAACAGATGGTGGAAATGTCTGCAATTGAGCTGGTTTATGCCTCCTGAGAGTAGGACTATTACTATTAGTCTTTATAAATGTAAAAAAGTTACATGGCGTCGCTGACATTGGGCAACACGCTGCAATTGTGATTCATGCCCCTTGAGTGTGATGGTGGGGTTACTCTCTGGCCCTAGTGTCATCTGACCTTCATTTACAATTTACATCTTTGTCACGTTTTGTGATTTGTAAAATTGTTAAAATGTGATTGCATGGTGCCTCTTTGAATCCTCCATTATGACCTCACTTTGGGGTTGGGTTGAAGGGTCTTAAGTTTTTGATGATATCTTGAATTTTCTGAATCTCTTGTTTGCATCTTTTCCAATTTTCCTCCAACCACCTCATGCGTTCCTCATGAAGCCTTTCATATTTCTCATGAGCATCAACTATTATTTCAATGAGTGATTTGGAAGACTCACTACCTGTTGTTGTCTTCTCATCATAAAGTGGATTGACATAAGAGGAAGTATGTGGTGGAGACATGAAGAGCTCTTGATAGTCATCAAAATAAAGACCTATCATGGTGGCACAATCTACTAGTAGAAGATATGAACAACAAACTTGTGAACATTAGGTGGGTCCCATCGGCATGCCAAAAAGAGATTGTTGTCTCCAAAATCTCCCTTTTTGGCCGTGTGGTAGATAAAACTGCGAAGGCGTGCCACTCACTTTGCTCAAAGTGAGAAAGAGGGATTCCTGATGACCCTCACTACTTCCAAGCGTGGAACTCAGCTATGAGTTGATGGAAGAGCACTGATTAAATAAATTATGAGATGCGCCCTGGTCAGACGATTGTCATAGAAATGGGGGTGCATTCCTACATAAAGGTTTATAAATAATTGCCTTGGAAGAACATCAAAGACTTCCCACAACTAGGGCCAAAATGTTAGTTTGCTGATCAGAATAAAAGAGAAAAATAAAGGAAAGGAGAAGAAAGAGAGTGCATGGTATGAAAGCTAAATTGTAGAGAGGAAGCGTAATGTTGTCACGAAAGCATGAAAGCATAAGAAATGAAATAAAAGCTGAAACATAATACTAAACTTAAAAGGAGCTAGGAAGATGAATTTAGGGCAAGGAGCAATAAATATAATTGTACAAAACTAAATACATCAAGTGGAGATGTTTACAATGAAATAACAAAAACTAGAACTAAAACTAACATTAGCATAGAGCTAAAGACTAAACTAGGAAAGCTGATTGAGTAAGTTAGATCTAAACTAAGACATTGCTTGTGAAACTAAAAGGAAGATAGCACTGGGTTAGTTGTGTGATAGGCAGGTCTTTCCTTACTTGATCTCATTATCGGGTATTTATAGCACCTTGGTAGTGTGGTGGAGTTCTGTTTATAGTATCTTGAAAACTATCGACAGCATAAAATCTCCAACAAATCGATTAATCTGTTGGTGCTGCCGATTATACTTCTGGAAGTTTGCAACAAGTGAATGGTTTTGTTGCTGTTGTGGAAATAACCACTGAATCTTATCTGGAGAGATTTACGCCAACAACTTTCAACCAAGGAAATAGCTGCCAACATGGATGACATGTGGCACCATTCTATTTTTTTGCAAAAATGGGTGTAAATTGCTGCAAATCTGGAAATTATTCTATAGTGCTGGGAATGCAAAAAATGTGGCGAGAATGGTGATTCTGGGTGACTTCAACATGTAGGGTGAGGGGTTGAAGGTAGGGGATTTTTTCAAATGAAAAATAAAAAAGGGAAGTCTCATGCATGGGAAGAAAAGGCTGGAATCATGAAAAACTGTTTTCTTTTTCTCCTACCAAAAAAATGAAGGAAAAATAATATATACAGGTGCAATGGTATTTTTAGAATTTCAGGTTAATGGGCCAAAGGTGTTTAGTGGCTACTGGGTTGATTTGGGTGAGCTATCAAGCTTTTAGTGGCTCTGGACATTATTGATAGCTTTCTGGCAGTGATGTTATGAATTACCCAATGGTTCTGGTGAAGCTTCGCTAGTTCTAGTGATAAACAAGAAACTGCTTATTTCTGGTAACACCTACACAAGATTTTGGTAGGTTCCCTAAGTTCTGCAAAGGATTATATAGCTATCTTGGCCACATGTACGATTGCGAATTTCTCTAAGTCTGTAATAGGCTTCTTTATCGTTGACACACCTGGCCATGATACCGCTAGGGAGGTGATAATATAGTTCACGAGGAATGATAACATAACTGGACAGATCCTTTAAAGGCACATCAAGTTTTTGTTGCAGCAAAGCATTATAAATCTTGTACCACCAGTCAACACGGTTAGAAAGTTCGAACAGAACGGACTCGTAGCCATGATGAATGGGTTGTTCTTTTTGGATGACTTGGACATTGAAAGGATTCTCAATCATGGGAACTCTTAAAGCAATTGTAGCCAAGGCATCAGTTAATATGTTCTCTAACTACTGTGGTATTTGCTCGCACTTGAGACTAACAAAGAACCGCTCCAAGTTTTGGTTGAAGGAGCAATATGGCGCAAGGTGCTTTTCATAGACAGCAAAGGTGCCTTGAATTTGGCCAAAAATTAGACTTGAGTCACCGATAATTTTCAAGCGCTATATACCAGTTTCTCTAGCTGTGGCAAGGCCAATAAGATAAGCTTCATACTCAGCCATATTGTTTGTGCATTGAAAATCAAGCTTGAATGAGAATACCATATCATGGCTCTTGTCATCTTTAAGAACAACACCAGCCCTAGCCCCTTCAACCGTGGAAGAACCATCAAAATATAATGTCCATTCTTCTTCAATTTCCTACATAGCAACGATCTCACCACCTAGGACTTCATCAGAAATAGGGTACTGGACTTCACTAGAGAACTTAGACAACAAATCTGCAACAGCTTGCCCTTGATGGCGGTGGCATTACTACAGGTAATATCATATTGAGACAATTGAAGAAGCTAATTAGCAAGACAACCAGTGAGCATGGGCCATGTTAGAAGGTAAATTAATGTAAAGTAATTTACCGAATGGGTTGAGACTTGATGATGAGCTGTATCTTATGAGCCAAGAAATAATGTTGAAGATGTTGAGATACATAAGTTAATGTAAGATAAAGTTTCTCAACAAAAGGGAACCTTGACTCAACACCCTTGAGGTTTCAACTAACATAATAAACCGACTGTTCTTTGCCTTCTTTATCTTCTTGGGTAACTAAAGCACCCACAACTTTGTTAAAAGCATGAGATCTTGTAGATGCGAAAAGGCACGTTGCTGCTCTGCTACCCATATGAAAACGGCTCCTTTCTTCCATAAAGGGCTAAATGCGAACATAATTTCTACCAACAAAGGGATGAATTTGCGAATATATGAAACCTTGTTAATGAATCTTCGTAGCTGCTTAAGATTATTGGGTGGCTACATGGCTCAAATGGCTTCGAACTTGGTTGGATCCACACTGATGTCGTGTTTATTCACAAGAAAGCCTAGAAACTTTCCAATGGAGACACCAAACGCGCACTTCACTAGATTCATTTTTAGTTTGTATAAATGGCATATGTCGAAGACTTTTCTCAACACATTAAAGTGACCCAGCCTTGTTTTGGACTTTACCACAATATCATCAATATTGATCTCAATGTATATGTGGATGAAATCATGAAAAATAGACACCATGACTTTTTGATAAGTAGCCCTAGCATTTTTTCAGTCCAAAAGGCATAACAACATAGGAAAAATTACCAATAGGAGTGCGAAAAGTAGTTTTCTCCACATCACTAGGGCATATACTGATTTGGTTATATCTGTTGCTGCCATCCATGAGAGAGTACATTTAGCAGCCAACAATGTTGGCCGTCAACACATCCATGTTTGGGACAAAGAACTCATCCTTAGGGCATCTAATCTACCCATTCTTCTATCGAACTAGTATAATATTGGCCAACTAAGTAGGTCTCTTTGTTGGCTTAATGAATCTTACAGCTAAGAGCTCCTCAACCTCTTCTTTTATTTTGAGAGTAACTTCCGAATGAAAAGGACAATTTGGCTGCACAACCAACATTACTTTAGGATCAACATTTAGAGAATGCACTATCAAGGTTGGATCAAGCCCCAGCATTTCATCATAGTTCCAAGCGAAAACACCCTTTTATTCCCAAAGTAAGTTGATCATCTTGGCCCTCTCATCAACAAAAAAAGTAGTGTTGATATGTACATGTCTTGGGTTCACTAGATCATTCCCAAGATCAACAACTTCGAGAGACTCTAAAGAAGTAAGCATTGGCTCAGCTTCATAAAGGGTTGGCAGCTTGTCTGGTGGTATTAGATGATCAGCTTCGACAAAAGAATCTAGATGCTCAGCAAGTATTTTATTTCCAACCTCAAGAGTGAGGCATTCTACTTTGTTGAAAAGATCTCGTTCATCAATTATAGTGCCTCTCTTTGAGGTGAGGAATAAATGATCAAGTGGCATGGCCGTACTACTGGCAGTGGGGCCACCCCTTATATGGCTGAGAGGCCCCACACACCTTCATAAAGTATACTTGACCTTCCCATCGAGAAGAATAGTTCGAATGCATTTTGGGTGTGCTTAGACAACCTTTGCTGCCTCTTTCTTTTGTCTCTTATTTTCAAGGACGCTTCACAAATCAAGATCAAGGTTATCTTTGATGTCATTCCATGCTAGCAAAGCAGTGCCACTCGAGTGAGAAACTATCGCTTTACCAGAAGGAGCGAATTCATCATAAAAAGCAACTTTAGTGAAGTGAGTCTCAGTTTGATCAAATGGTAGTGGGTTGGTGGAGATGCGAAAAACCTTTCCATTTAGATGGCCCTTGACACATTGATGATAAGTAGAAGGAAAAATTTTGGGTTGGTGCGGCCATGGCCGTCCTAGTGATATATGATAAGAGACTTCTACATCAATAATGTATTCTACATCAATAATGTAAAAGGTAGTTTGAGATTAAACTGGACCGACCTTTAATTCAAGTTGAATGTATTTAAGGGCATGCTCACTACTGCTGCCAAAGCTGACATTACTGAATGGAGACATGACGATCCTTTGCTAGGGAATCTCTACAACGATAATGGTGCTTAGCGGTATTAGGTTGAGCGAGGATCTAGTATCAACAAGTGCACGTCTGACACTGATAGAATTAATCTGAGCGAATAAGTAAACAGGATTTCTGTGGCCAGGATATAGTGCCTCCATATCTTCGTTAGTGAATGTGATGGCATTAGAGGACTCAAGATAAGCACGATTGGCATAAGCTTTGACATTGAGGCACTCTTCTCCAGTCTCATCAACAATAGAGAGGATGGCTTCTATGGTTCTTCATCGTGCTTCAGTAGTGAGGCCAAACTGATGAAATAACATCTTGAACTTTAGAGTTCGTTGGAGTGCACGAATAGAGAGGTTGGGTGTATCGTTAGGAAACTCAACTATTGGTGCACTTGTCCCAACACTCTCCACATGAGTAAGAACATTGATAGTGCCTAGTTGTGGCATGGAAGAGGGTCTTCGTCCATTCTCTATCTTCTGTTTGGGACTTCTAACAATCTTTTTGAGACCCGTCGATGATATATTCTTGTTAAGGAAAAATAGTCCATGGTCGTGTGATGGACAAAGCAGTGACAACGAAAGTACTTGTGGTTGTACTTATCATCATCACTAGGCTTGCGATGCGATTGAGGCAGTATGATAGCACCATCAGCGATCCATTGATTCAAGAGCACATCAAGCTCTTCGACAGTGAGAGGAATGGGTGGTGCCGATGCTATGTCACGGTTTCTCATTTTCTAACCTTGTCCTTGGCCACGGACAGAAATAGCCAAGGTATGAGTAGTAGCTTTCTTTATTGCTGACTTTGCTATAGACTTCCTAGTAGAAATGGCTTCGATAGAGATAGCTGCTCTTCTAGCAGCATCGAGCAACCTTGCAAACTAATTGATCCCGATGTTTTCAAAGACAACACGATATTCAAGAAACATGTTGTTGATGCAAATCTCCACCAAGAAAGACTCAGCATGGCCGACGTAGCAGTCAAGTGCTAAATTTCTAAATCTCTTCACATAAACTATCAAATCCTCGTCGGTGCATTAGCGTGTGTTGTGGAGATCAAGGATGGTAATGTGCTCTTCACTTTAAAAATACTTTTGACAAAATTTCTTTCCCATCTTGTCCCAAAAGCGGATAAAGTTGGGAAGCAAAGTAATGTACCACGTATAAGCCCTGTCAGAGAGGAATTTTCAGAACTCACAAATTTTCAGAACTCACAGAGGCACAAGTCGTTGTTGCCGACGTAAGGCCTCATGGCATCAAGGAATTTGCTAACGTGCTCCACAACACTACCCTTCCTTCCATCATATTGAGGGAATGTAGGGCTCTCATATTTCTTCGGATAAGGCTTGGATAGAATCTCCTTTGGGTAAGATGGGTCATAGACGAATTGAAAATGGATTGTCTCATGTTTAGAACGCTCCCTATCCAAGAGAGTAGCATGGTTTACCATGGTAACAAAACCTTGGGTAGAATCGGCTACATTGGGTGAAGCTTCATCGATGTTGATGGCCGCAGTTGCTGGCAGTGCTACGTTGTTGGCTGCGCAACAGAACCCCATTGCCATTGGTAACCCCAATCTGGACCTCTTGTGGCTAAGATGTCCTAGTTAATAATGGCTAAGATGTCCTAGCCATATTAACTAGTTGTGTTGGATTCTGCATAGCGTGTTGGATTCTGCATAGCGTGTTGGATTCGTATGTTGGCGAAGAGCTGAGTAATCTTTTGCTAATCTTCGTGCAAGACCCAAATAATTTGGACTAGGGATGCAAGGCTTGGATCGATGATTCCTTGCAAGAGGTCAATAAAAAATCTATTGATGGGTGCGACTGTTGAACTTCTCGTCCATCATCCTGGCCAAGCTTTTGATTCCTGTCAGCGATGCGAGACAAAGTTGCTCTCGTGATAGGCATGGCCAGAAAAATTTTGCTAAAGATGAATAAATATTACTGAGGAACAAAGTTGGAAATACTATACTGCTGAAAAAGAACAAAACAAGATGAAGCTGTAGTATGACCTCCCTAGTGGAGTTGCCATTTTTTGTTGGGGTGTGCTAGTGATGAAGGATGATGAGTTAGCAGCAGTGATGATGTAGAGGCTGACTAGGAAGCCACCTGTAAAAGAAGTGAGAAAGGTCCTTTAGCAGCACTCGCTTCACATGCAAAAGGCTACATGCTTCAAGCCATCTTGTTTTGTCCAGCGATGATGTCCACGATGATACCCAACTACGAACCTTCCAGCAAAGTCTAAAAATATAAAAGTTCTAGCCAAGTCAAGAGAGCTAGGCAATAACGATGGGGTTTCAACGACTAAAGATGATTACACAACTATCAAAGATGATGGGAAGAATATGTACATTGTTGTAAGAACAACAGAGATGGAAAACACATGAGGATCAAATATCGCAACTTGAGAATCACATTTATACATGAAATATTGTGACATAATAATAATGACAATAAATGTGGCCTCCATCATCTCTAGTAAATATCCTTATTCTATAAAGAGCAACCGTTATATTGAAGATGGAAAATACAACAATCCCTCTCTCGTAGTTCTTTTTAAAGACCAAAGGGATAAACTCGAGAGTAGTGATGGGACAAAGAGGGATGATCGCTTTGTGGCTTGTGAGTGGAGTGCTTGATCCTATTGTGGATGCTAACCTTGCAACTTGATCATTTGATGCTTAAGAAAAATCACCTAGAAACTGAAACTACAGTATATTGCCTCCTAGCCATGATGTGCTGCAAGTCTGGAAGTTATTCTGCAATGCTAGAAGTGTGGAAAAGATGGAGAAAATGGTGGTTTCCGAGTGATTCTAGTGTGTAAGGCGAGAGGTTGAAGGTGGAGGATTTTTTTAGAGGAAAATGGAAGTTTGGTACGTGAGGAAGAAAGTTGGAAGTCCTAGGTATTTGTTCTTCTACTCTGTTGAAAAAATGAAGAAAAGAAATAATATATATACAGGTCTAGTGGCATTTTTTTGTAATTTCTAGTTGATGGGTCAAAGGTGTACAGGTGGGTTTGGGTGAGTTGTTAAGCTTTTAGTGGCTCTAGGCACTGTTGTCAACTCTTTGGCAGTGACATTATGAATTACCCAATGGTTTTGACAAAGCTTCACTGGTTCTAACGTAGGACTGGAAACTAACTATTTGTGGTAATTTCTCCAACCATACGAAATTCCACTATTGGGAGGGTATTTGAGTGCAACTGGTAAACACAACACCTGCACAGGATTTTGGTAGGTTCCCCAGGGTCTACGCGAGATTTTGGAGGATTTCCCAAGTAAACAACAATCTTTTTCAATAATTTTCAAGGCCATGAAACTCGTGTAGCCACCATTTTATTAAATACAACTGCCACTTGTTGATGGTGACTAGAACAGCATCTCTGGTTAGTTTTGTAATGGGATTTTAAGCCTTTGGTTACCATCAAAGGGTACTATTTTGGGAATCAAGTCCACTTCCACGTCTTCGCCACCCAACCCTTTCTGGCAAAGTCGGGCAACATTGCCATCGCTAAGCATTGCCAACGCCAAGCATCGTTAGTGCCAAGCTTCACTAGCACGAGTACCTTACTTTGCCAGTTTGGCAACGTCCATCCATCCATGCTTGTCAAGCCACTACCCCCATAGTTTATCCCGAGTAGATCCCATGAGCTTAGATTCATGGACTTGTATTTATCTGCAATGGCAGCAAGATATATATGAGTATATCTTCAAATATTTAAATGTAAAGTGTATGGATATGCACAACGAAGAAGGGTACTCCTTTGTGTATTAAAGGGTATGATGTGGAAGAATGTTTGTAGTGCCCTTTCGTTTGCTGGCTATGGCGAGCGCCAGTATATTGCTGTTGTGCATGGCTGGCATTGCGTCAAAATCAAAGGAACAAGTGATATGGGTACGTGCTAGGATATCGTTGTTCCAAGCCAAGCATCGTTGGTCAACGATACCTATTAACACGTAAAACATAGAAGATATATGTTGTGAGTCGGGATTACCGACGACCAGTAACTTTATCCTTTTGTGTGAAAGAATAATAATATACATGGCTGCTAGCCATGTAGATATTGCAAGGTTAGCCATGAATAGCTTCCCTATAGCCAGAAGGACAACAATGGCTAGCTTTGTCCATAACTAGAGCGTGAACTATGTGGAATCGGAAAAGCACTTCCATTAATCTACCAAGTCACAAAGAGGTAAATCTCGCTAAGTTAGACACCACCACAATGATGAATATGTGATAGAGAGAGATGGAGTTGTCTCCATGGAAGAGGGACACCAGCCACATCCATGGCCTTTGATACAACAAGGTGTGATACTATTTACAAACGTTGGCCCTTCTTACCATACCCGCACCATCAGAAGGTGGTCTTAGTTGTTGTTGCCCACCAAGCATTGCACCACCATGCACGGGTGACCACTAAGGGACCGTCGGCTACTACTTGATGGGTTTTTGTTGTTGGAGGGTAGCCATCCCGTCCAGTCACAAGGTTGTAATTGTTACCAACCTTATGCTAATCACATTGAGTCGCACTGACTCTTTGTTTGTTTTTAGGAGCTAGTGAGATAAATATGTAGCAAATCTAGCCTTTTGTCCATCACTGGGAGCTGTGTAGATTTAATAGGATTAGCCCATTGTCCATTGATGAGAACCAATGATAGAGACATGTAGATGTAGATACTTGGCCCGTTGTCCATCGCCAAGAGCTATATAAATTAGCTCGTTGTCCTTTGATGGGAGCCATGTAGCAAAATAGGTTCTTAATCCATTGTTAGGAGCCAAAATACATGGTAGTGAACATCATTATAGAGGACATGGTTGTTAAAAATGTTCAGCCATGTCTTTGAAGTAGATCTACCCATGTCTGACCACATATATGAAAATAGATGCTGGAGTGGATCACATTCCGCAATGTTTCCAACGAAGTGAATAAATGCTGTTTTTGGCGACAATGACTCTACTGTAGTAATCAGCAGAAAATAAGAATTGCATGTCCGATGTGAAAAATAAATGTTGTGGGCCTTTGCTGATGTAGAGCTACACATGTCATCGGCCTCACAGCCATACAAATTCATCCCTCAACAGCATCAAATAGTATAGTTTTAGGGATCAAGTCCTTTTCCACGTCTTCGCCACCCAACCCTTTTTAGCGAAGTCGGGCGATATCGCCAGCACCAAGTTTCGTTAGCGCAAATGCCTTACTTCACCAGATGGGCAACATTCACTCATCCATGCCTGCCAAGCCATTACTCCCATAGTTTATCTCGAGTAATTTCCATGAGCTTGGATTCATGGGCTTGCGTTTATCTGCAATGAGAGCAAGATACAAATGAGTATATATTCAAATATTTAAGTGTAAGGTGCATAGACATTTGCATCAAAGAAGGATACTCCCTTGTGTATTAAACGGGACGATGGGGATGAATGTTCATTGCGCTCTTTTGTTTGCTGGCCATAACGAGTGCTAGTACATTGCTGCTATATATGGTTGGCATTGTGCCAAAGTAAAAAATAAGTGATATGGATGTGTGCTGCGATATTGTAGTCTCAAGCCAAGTATCGTTGGTCGGCGATACCTACTAACACGTAAAATATGGAAGATATATGTTATGAGTTAGGATTATTGGCAACCGGTAATTTTGTCCCTTTGTGTGAAAGGATAATGATATGCATGGCTGCCAACCATGTAAATATTGCAAGGTTAGCCATGAATAGCTTTTTCATAGCCAGAAGGACAACAGTGGCTAACTTTGCCTATGGTTGGAGGGTGAACTATGTGGAATCGGAAAAGCATTCCCACTAATCCATCAAGTCACAAAGGGGTAAATCTCACTAAGCCAGACTCTGCCATAGCGATGAATATGTGATAAAGAGAGGTGGAGTTGTCTCTATGGAAAAAGGACGCCAACCACATCCATGGCCTTCGATACGACAAGGTGTGATACCACTGACAAACGCCGGCCCTTCTTGCCATACCCACACTGTCAGAGGGCGGTCTTGGTTGTTGTTGCCCACTAGGCACCGCACCACCATGCACGGGGGACCACCAAGGGATCACCAGCCGCTACTTGATGAATTTTTATCATTGGAAGGTAGCCATCCTATCCGATCGTAGGGTTGCAACTGTTACCAGCCTCACGCTAATTGTATCGAGTTGCGTTAACTCTTTATTCATTTTTAGGATCCAATGAGATAAAAATATGTAGAAATTCTACCCTTTGTCTGTTGTCGAGAGCCAGTGTAATGAATATATGTAGAAACATGTAGCCTTTTACCCATTGCTAGAGGCTAAATGAGATAACGAATCTGGCCCTCTGTCCATTGTCAGCTATGTAGATGTAGCCAGTTGTCCGTCAATGGTAGCCATGTATGTGTAGCAAAGTCAACTCTTTATCCATTGTTGGAAGCCACAAGATGCAGCAGTGAATATCGTTGTAGAGGACATGACCGTAAAAAATGTCCAGCAATGTCGTTAGAAAACGTCTAGCCATGTCTGGCCATGTGTATATATATATAATAGATGTTGGTGTAGATTGTATTCTGCAATGTTTCCAACGAAGTAGATAAATGCCATTTCTGGCGATGCTGACTCTATTGTAGTAATAAGCAAAAAATAGGAATAGCATCTCTAAT